TGACTTGAGGTGCTAGTACATTATGGTCATAGCGTCGTTCCCATTGCGGCTTAGAACATTGGCCGTTTGGATGTTGATCCTGCGCCCTGCCTCTTCATCGTTCGTCCCGCTGCTGCTCTCCCTGCGAAGCGTGTGTACCTGCTGTGGGTACATGTTGGTATGGGTAACCCCCCTCACCGCTCTACTCTACACAGATACACTCCAGCTCCAATACCCGACTCGATCTCTGCAGCAACTCTTCCCCTCCCACACTTACTGCTTGATGGAATGAACTGCCCTCAGTTCTTACATACCCTACAGGACATGTTGACAGATGGTCGCAGACAGATGCAGTAGTGCCCACTCCTAGCTGGCCAGGTTGACGCATCTTCCAAATTAAGTCACCGAACCTCTTTCTTCCCTCTTCCTGGGAAATGACGACATAACCACAACATGCATAGATACCTGACAAAATGGTTTGCCAATATCGCAACTACCACCTTAAAAAGTTATTTTCCGTACATTCTGTTTGATATGTTTGCTTCAAGAGTGTCGATGTAGTAACGAACGAAGCCTTCATGTGGAGAGGGCTCCTGGTCAAACATCGCCAACAATCGACCTTTGCAACGGTAAATGGTAGGCGTCGCTCAACAACAGCATTTTTGTACGTTGGAGAAATGTTCCAGCAATGGCTTCCTATTGGAAAGCTTCGAAAACTAGCAGCACTAGGATGCGAAATCCATACGACATCAAATCCCTTATGGTGGCACTCCAATCCTCGGCCTGTTTATTCTAGGCGGTTGATATCACAAGCCGGCCCTCCTAGTGGGCGATTCGCCGCAAAACCAAGAGATGCAGATTGACGAACGTCGTTGGAATTGTTATCTCAGGCTGGAGGACTTCACAGGTTGCGCTTTGTCCTGGAGGCGATTCGGCCGGTTTTAAACCCGTACCCACCATTGGGTAAAAGTCCGAGCGAGTGATTCTGTGTGATGAGTGACTAGCACATCTAGTTAACGATCACCGTATCTTACATACATATATTCCATTGACCAGACCCCACTTAGTCTACTCTACCTAGTTTTAATCAAGGGATACTATACGTCTATATGGGATCTATTCACGAGGGAGGAGCTCAGTACAACTGGTCGCTTTTATCTGTGATGGAATGGAGTTTCTTTACCTTGGGGATGTAAGCTATCTCCCGGTAGAGCTTATCGGTTTTATATATATATCCTTAAAGCTTCAAATTGTGCATTAAAACTAGTCATTGATACCAGCTTGCTTTATAAAACCATGTACATACGTTTCCTCCTAAAAGTGATCCGTCTACCAGACCATCAATACTTATAGCCAGTTTGTTTAAATGCTTTGCAACTCATGGTAGTGAATATATCAGGTTGGAGCTCTAAGTTCATGCAGCATTGAAACATCGCGTATGCCAAGCAATCGTGTTTCTCCTTTAGCAACCAACCAAAGCTGCCACGAGAGCCTCCCACCAACCGCCCCCTGCGAGAATCTCAACAAAAAAGAAACCACCTAATCATCTCGACCCAAACATATTCACCTCGAGGCTTTCGAGCCCTCCTCCTATCCTCTGTATCACAATCAACGAAAATCTACAATGAGGGTATCATCAACCCCGTTAGCATCTCTACTAGTTGGCTTTGCTGCCATCTTGCCAACAACCCTCGCTGTCTTTCAAGACGAGGCTTTCCAGAACGACTGGCATATCCCACTTCTGGGCCCTTCGCTCCGAGAATCTACCTTCTTCCACCGCCCCCTCCTAGATGCGAAAGCGAGCCTCATATATACACTTACCGAGCGCAATATCCTTGCTGCGCTACATCCAAAAGATGGCGGGATTGTATGGAGGCACCAGCTGGAAGCTTGCGCATCCAAGAAGCTGGCTCGAGCTGTAGAGGGTGTTGTTGTGACTGGCAGCTGTGGAAATATCAAAGCATTCGACGCAGTGACAGGAAAGCTAGCGTGGGAAAATAGATTCGAGGGTGGGAATGCGAAAGATTTCAAGTCTGCGGGCAAGGAAGACGCAGTGGTAGTGCTTTTTGACGATGGTAGTGTAAGAATGTTAGAAGGTGGGAGTGGGATTGTCATGTGGGAGTGGAAAGGCCTCGATGCGTATGTCCCTCACTCATATGGGCTATTGAGAGAGCTGTTTATTAACTCAATGGGATAATTGCAGGAAAGATACACCGTATTCGATCTCTGTAACGAGTGATAGTGTCTTGGTCGTTTCTGTTCAGCCGGAGAAGACATCGAACAATATGCACATCACTAGCTTAGTGCTTGAGTCCGGTTTGCCTGCTAAATTCTCCGGCGATTTGCGCTCATCTGTTGAATCGGTAGACAACATTCTCAGCTCTGATGCCCTCATGGCCTGGACTGAAGATGAGCTCCGAACTCTAAGAATGGTTCCTCTCAGTGGAAACAGACTCTCCGGTGCGAATATCAAGATCCCAGAAGGCGTCATCGATATCGAGGTCCATACCGATAGCGACAGCATTGCACTAGTGCACTACAAAACTGCAGACAAATCATGGGCAACAGCTTACAGATGGGAATATGAGTATGGCCCAGTCATGTCCTTTTTGGATATTGAAGAAAAACCTGGTGCGGATAGCACATTTTCAATAAGCAAGTCTAGAGGTCAGACGTTTTTTGTCTGGAGCTTTGCCAACGGAGAAGCATTTCTATACGGAGAACAAGGTCAATTGGCCGAATACAGTCCTAAAGTTGAATACAAAGGGAATCATATCACAAATGCCGCTTCGGAGGTTATCACTAGATCTGACGGCGCCTCGTATGCAGTTCGCTCGTTCGTATCAACTTCCGCCCCCGGATTTAAAGGAAACACCCATCTTGTCCGTAATGGCGATCTGGAATGGACTCGCAAGGAGTCCTTGGCCTCTGTATCGGCATCTACATTTGCTGAGCTATTGGATCCCGCTGCCGAAAAGGTTGCGGACGAGCTGAATGCCGAGGGACACAAAAGCGTTGGTGCTGCCTACGTTCATCGTCTCACCAGACACGTGCAGGAACTCATCGAATACGGCCCTGCTTGGGTATCTGGTATTCCAGTAAGAGTCATGGATGCGTTTTTGAACAAAGAGAAAGCGGAGATTGGCGGAAAGTGGAGGGACTTCTTTGGATACAGAAAATACGCAATTGTTGCTACTGAAGAAGGTGGTCTGGCGGCATTAGATATTGGAAAGAAGGGAGAGATTGCCTGGGAGTCCAATGTTCTACCAATTGAAGGTGAATGGAAAGGTGCTCTCGGAGTCTACGAAGTCTCAAAGGGGGTCGTCGCGGTTGTCACTAAAGGAGGTGAATACCTCGAGTTTGATGCCTTTGAGGGCACCATGCTTCATAGGGAGAAGATCCCTGGTTGCGGAACCGTAAAGAGCTCTAGCACTGTAGATGGCATTGGCCGCAAACTCGTCCTTGCCGTTCTCAAGTGCGGTAAAGTCATGGTCCTCCCCTCAGGTTCACCTCTCCCGGAAACCGTCTTTCTCGCTGTCCAAGACGATGCGGGTCACGTGAAAGGCCTCAAAGTGGCCTCCTCCGGCAAGCCCGAGCAAACATGGGTCTTCAACCCTCCCACAGACGAGCAAATTACCTCGATCTCCACCAGGCCTGCCCACGATCCCATCGCATCCATTGGCAAGGTCTTAGGCGACCGCTCAGTAATGTACAAATATATCAACCCACACCTGATCTCGATCGTCACCGCAGACCCCAACGGCTCAACAGCCTCAATCCACCTCCTTGACTCCGTCTCTGGCGCCGTCCTCCACTCAGCAACACACACAGGCGTCGACACTAGCAAGCCCATTGTATCCACTGTCTCTGAGAACTGGGTTGTATACAGCTACTACGGCGACGACACCATTCCCGGCAAGACTGCCGCTAAGGGCTATCACCTCGTCGTCTCTGAGATCTTTGAGAGTGAGCAGAAGAACGATCGAGGCCCGCTCGGCGGCGCCCAAAACTACTCTGCGCTTGCTGGAGAAACTGGTGAACCCTTCGTACTCTCGCAGTCATTCATCTTCCCTGATGAGATCACGTCTCTGGCGACTACTACTACCCGCCAAGGCATCACCAGCCACGAGATCTTGGCGCTGCTACCGGAGTATTCGTCGATCTTGGGACTGCCAAAGCGTATGCTTGATCCTCGTCGCCCAGTGGGCCGCGATGCGAATGCTGGGGAGATGGAGGAGGGCCTTGTCAAATACTTCCCTGTCATTGATGCGGACCCCCGTGGTATGTTGAACCATAAGCGGGAGCTTGTGGGTATCAAGAAGATTGTTACTACACCAGCGTTATTAGAGAGTACTAGTCTTGTATTCGCGTACGGTGGTGATCTCTTTGGTACGAGAGTGACGCCCAGTATGGCGTTTGATGTGCTCGCCAAGGGGTTCAGTAAGATTCAGCTTGTTGGGACAATTGTGGCGTTGGGTGTGGGTGTGGGCTTTGTGGCGCCCATGGTGAGGAGGAAACAAATTAATCAGAGGTGGTCTAATAGCTAGACCTTATGTTATAGAACTAGATCCACTGTTTGTTTGTTTTGTTTACTGGCCTGGCTGTGCAATTGAGCGCGCATGGGGATTTATTTTTATTTATGTATTTCGTAATGATGAATAGTGAACTAAGGTTGGATGGACAGGAAAAATTTGGGAAGGATGGGAATATTATTTGTTTGTAATTGGTTCATGACTTTCATGACTTCTGCCTTCTTCCCTTTGACCTACAAGTTTGGCGTATAGAACCTACTCATCTTGCAATTACTTGAAGTTACAATACTGTAAGGGAATTTTAAGGGTGAAACTTCCACTCATGTCAAAGAAAATATACCTGATTTACGTGCTTCATCTTTTGAGTCCAAGGTTCATAAGCCGTCTCCACTGGCACCTATCATATTACAACTCTCCCACGCTCAGCTGCTAGGGGATCCTTTTATTAGTGTTTCCAAGTCATCGTCATCACAAAATATCACTCGCATACTATAAACCCGCAAACTCCTGCGCAGCCTCCCGCAGAGCCCTAACGGCACCATCCCTAACGGAAACTACGACTTCTCCCGCTGGCTGCAGATCCTGGATCGACCCAATACCCGTTCCACTGGAGCAGCCATGTCAGCACCACAACCACACATCACACATATACACACACACGTGTGTACATGAAGACACATACCAAAACATAGTCAATCTCTCCCAATCACCGAATACAAGTGCCTTCTCGTACAGCTCTCTATTTTCTGATTCCGCCATACCGCTCTCGTCATCCTTAAGTGTCCCGTTCATTGCACCACGCCCATTATATTGCGGTGGCCAGAACCCAGTTCCACGCAGGGTATCGAATATTCGAGTTCTTCCCCTCAGGGTAAGCATTGGGGAGCTAAAGAGGGGTACTGAGGTTCACATACCTAGTCGTATTCTGACCTCCGTCTGAGAGGTTCAGGAGGTACTTCTTGAATCCATCTGCTGCGGTGCACTCGGGGGTCAAGATAAACTACACATACATCGTAGCCCGCCAGTCAGATCAGCTAGTACCCAAAAGTCATAGCACCAGAGATACTCACCCTAGTCCCCATTGCAACACCGCTCGCACCTACCCCACCCCACATTAGCAATTCTGTCCCCGCTGCTTAATTACTGTCCTCCCAGAACCACTCCTACCTAAAGCCAAAGCCGCTGCCGCACCCCGCCCATCCACAATCCCCCCCGCTGCAAGCACTGGTATCACTCTCCCGCTCTCCCTGATGACATTCCTAAACTCTGGAATAAGCCCCACCACACTTGCGCCACGACACAATCCGTGTCCCCCAGAGTCCGCAACGCCCTGCACAACGATGACGTCTGCACCCTCGCCCGCAGGGCCAGTTAATAGCGCTTTGAGCTCCTTTACGGAGCCGAGTTGGACGAAGATCTTGATTTCGGGATAGTGGGACTTGGTGTTGATGATCCATGTGTCCAGCTGCTCCGCGGTTTCAGGCGCAAATAACCACACTGCGACTGGCGGGTGGGACTTTAGGGAGCTGAGGAAGAGTGAGAGATCTGCGCGGAAAAGTATCACGCCTACGCCGATTGGGAGAGGCGTTATGTCGGGGAGGAGAGTGTGTGTATGGGCAAGATTGGCGGAGAGATTGGTCAAGTCAAAGCCAGCGCCCAGGAAACCTAGCTGAGTATTAGATGCGGTTGGCAAGAGTATACTACGTGAGAGAAGAGTTTACCTAGACCGCCGGATTTATACACGGCGGTAATTAGATCGGGCCCGGTGGTTCCTAGCATGGGGGCGCTGCATATGAGGGGTGTTTTCGTAAAAGAAAACATCGACTTGAGGAGAGCAGTTTCTTTCGACATGATCAGTTGTAGTATCACAGCCAAAGGATTGAAATATAATATCTTGAGGTCTAGTATCCAGGGTTTTCAAGCTCGTCGTGGGAAAAACAACGCATTTATATCCAGTTATAGCGAATTTGTAAGCCATGGTCTTAGGGAATTTCTATCTCCGTTTCTCCGGAGCACTAGAGTGAGAGGGAAAAAAGAACCCCCAACGAAAAAGGCACACGACGCCGCAGTTGACCAATAGCTAGCTAGTAGTTCATATCAAGGCGCAACACGATCATTGACCCCCTCACCACCACACGGTAATTCTCGGCACCTCTCCAGTTCAGTTTTGGAGCCCCGGCACCGCAGGTGCTATTATATTCCGTAATTCTCTTGGTTTGGAGGGGTTTCTTTCGGTTACAGGTCTGAGTGCTGTATGTACTGGAAGCTCTTTGCTACTGTGAGTCATTGGTATCAAATGTAAGGGGAGGTTTGATAGTGGTAGAAGCAAGTAAGATAAGGTTAAAAGAGTTGTCCAATACCTGCAGCGACATCCATAATGTAAAAGGTGTTCTGGGAATCTACAGAGCCTCTATAGTAGACATTATTGATACACATACATGTATCTTTTGTAGTCTTGTTGAATCCAGATCAGGTATCACTCATAAGCTTCCATGTGCATAAATAACCACTTACAGATTCGACGCAAACACCTCCAGGAAGGTCACTAGTAGTCAATCAGGGAAGGGCTAGTAGGCTAGGAGGTTTAACTAACTCGAAGAATATATTCTCTCTACGAGAGGACGACGTCTTATAAACTTTATATAAACTTTACATGTCATGAAAATACTATGACATACGTGTAATTATCAGAACTCAGAGATATAATAACACGTGTACCTACTCTAACCAACCATCAGTTCCTCTCTATCTCTCATCTGTCTACTTGAGCAATTTTGTCACTCCAATCATTCAGCCTACATGGATTACCCGCCATTTCATCAGATTATCAGTATGTAATTTCATCAGATTACCAGTATGTAATTCCAGCAATTTCCGTCCAGTACTACGAGCCTCGAATCGAATTTAGATGGATAAAGCTGACTTTGTTAGAGTCACGCTTACTTCCTGGGTTGGGGATTATTCGGCCCCTCCAAACTCAGAGGAGATTTATTTATTTGAGCTCTATCAGCGTGCCAAAGCACTGTGCCCCTAAATGTCTTTCTACGAATAAGGCCCTTCTAGACTGGCCGTGAAGCTTGCCATGACGAAATGTGACATTTGGAGAAGCTCACCGAGTTTCTACCAGCAGATTCAGGCAACCGATAACGCAGTCACGTGGGCGCCACAGTGACTAACACTAGCTGAATAAGTGGGTATTTATTAGAGGTCTTCTCCGCACCTCCAGCCCCCAGCTTCCCCCTCCCAAACAACATCCCGTGAAGAATAGAAATCCCGACATTCTCTTGAACTGGACTGCTTGCTACTACAAAGTGCTGTACGATTGAACAAACCCCCCCCGGCTAAGTGACAACATTCCAGTCGTCGCTTATATCATCTGCAACTTTTAAACTTTTCACTACTACCGGAATATGCAATCTTTCAGGTTCATTTACTCTCCAATAAAAGACAATGAACCCTCAAGAGCTCGCCGATCAGCTAGCAGAACTCCAAGTATGAAAATCGGGCATTGCTTGAAAAGGAGAGAGGGTTCTGCAGGGTATACTAACGTCGTCGCCAGATCGAATTCTCCTCGTTGGACTCGTCTCTCGTCGCGGCGATACTTAGTGACACAGAGTCCCCTGCAGAAGCCCGAAAAACCCTCGGAGAGCTCGCCCAATTCACTCAAGTCGACGACAGCGTCGATAACAATTCCCCGGAGTGGTCAATCAGCGATGAGACTGATCCGACTACCTACTCGCTTTCCTCGTGGCGCATAGAGGATGATGAGGATGACACTCCTGGGGCCAGAGACAATGCGGCGTTCCTGGGACATATGTTCCCAACGCTGTCGGCCTTTTCGATCAGTGCAACCCTTGATAGGTGTCAAGGAGACCTCGCGCGCGCAACCGACGAGCTCCTCAATCGCGTCTTCCTCGCGGATGACCCTGAGGACGATGTGGTGCGCGGCGTAGATGGCTTTGATGCGGGGCTAAACGGCGCAAAGGGGAAAAAGAAGGGCCGCAAAGGGCGTAAGAATGGAAAAACGCTTACCCTTGAAAATGACCCACCCAGCCAGATTCGCCTAACAGCCGGTCCCGCAAACACAAACACAAATGACTCCCCCTCTAGGTGGGAAGAAATGGCATCTGAGATATCCTATCTTTCAGACTCCCTCAATCTACCTGAGAAAGCGGTCGGGGCGGCGTATCGCCGCCATAGTAGCGCACTTGGCCCTACAATCGCGACTCTTCTTGAAGACAATTCTTCCAGCGGTGCTGAGCTCGACCCGACGCATTTAGCTCAGCTCCAAGATCTATCCGCGATGTTTGGTAGCAGTGTGAAGCGCCGACACCTTGAGACCCTGCTCCATCTCTGCAAAGAGAACACACCGGCCGTCTTCAAACTCGCCGAGGTTCTTAGCCGCGAACCAAAACTCACTGTCCAAATCGTGAACTCCGTCCCTACTACCCCAAGTTCTCCTCCCTCCACTCCCCTTAATGGCTGGGTCTCCGTCGGCGGCCCATCCACCGCTCGCTCGGTCCCCAACTCCCCACCAGTCTCCCCGCGCTTCCAGCCCCGCCCCCTCCAAAACCTCTCCGCACAGACCACCGCCCGCAACGAGGCCTTCGCCAAAGCAGCCGCCTCCTATCGCAAGTCCAGATCCGACCATCTCATGGGCGGCGCCGCCGCCTTCTACTCCGACGTTGGCCACAACCACAACGCCGCAGTCAGGAGTCTGCGCGAGGAGGCCGCACAGCAGCTCATCTCGTCCAACAGCACGCTCAACAACCTTGACCTACACGGTGTAACCGTGTCGCAGGGCGTGCGCTTCGCGCGGGAGAAGACCACGGACTGGTGGGTGCGGCAGCGCCGCGAGCAGGAGCTCGCTGGCGGCGGTAGGCGCGAGGTCACACCGTTCCATATTGTATGTGGCGCTGGGCGTCACAGCAAGGATGGGATACCGCAGCTGCTGCCGGCGGTGACGAAGGTGCTGGTGAAGGAGGGGTGGAGAGTGGTGTGCGATCATGGGAAGGTTGTGGTTGTGGGCGTCAGTGGGGCCAGGGCGAGGCAGAGGAGCTTATAAAGACCGGCCTACATCTCCTCCTCCGCTATCATTGTGACATCAGCATCTAATGTTATTTGTTTTTGCGGGGGGTGGCGGCACCAACATATATTGTCACCGTGAGGTCTTTGGAGCTTTATTTAGCTAGATCATATAGATAGCATTACTTGTGTAGATGTGATGTTCTTATCTAGACTACTAGAACAGACTAGCCTTCGTTAGACAGGGCCAGCAAGAGAAATAATAATCACAGATTGCACTTCGTTCCAGACAGGTCTCAGTAGATGTGTTGCTCCGGCCACAATGCGACGAACGGCATGTACCGGGTGCTCTTTTGACTCGTCTCTTGGGTGTAACTGCACAAGCGACATCACACGAACGCAGCGACCCGACTCGGTCCCGTTCACGTAGTCCGTGGTAAAAGCATTCTGGTAGCAAACACTGCACATACCCTATCAAGTCATAAATCGCTATCTCCAAACCTGCCGTGGAATGCACCATTGCGTGTGCACATTCCAGTAATCACAGCCCCCATACGAATACCTACCTATGTTGTCCATACGTCTGAAGAGTAAACAGTCCGTACAGCGCCTACACGCAACCGAACACCATCCTCCGTGATTGCTCTTTTGATAAAAGTTATGCCCACTATTGTCATTGTCAACTATGTCATCACCTCAAAAGCTGACTGTCGCAAATACTCCTGCTTGCCCTACATCACAAACCCCCGACTAGCGCAACCCGGGGTACCTGGCCGGAACTTCGGTACCCGGGTAGAAGCGATGTCGCTTGTGTAACCATCGAAAAGCCCGCTCTAGCCACTCTGGCCAACTCCAACTGCTAGATGCAGAACTGCATGTTCACGTGCTGGGCCTCGGTCTTGGATTTGGGTGTTGGGGAATGTTGGGAGAGAGAGAGGGAGTGTGTGTATACTTGCACTCGCTATATACACATACACTCTTGCACGAATAACTACACTTGCTGTTTGATACGTGAGCGCTGTCTGGGTCGGCGGTCAGTAGGTCGGTCAGGCCACACACACATCGCAGACCCCTGGATACGTATACGTGAATATCCCAGCTACTACTCTGCACAGCTAGCTACATAGCTAGCAAGGGAGGAAGCCCGGAGATCGACGGTTGGGGAGTTAGTAAAAGCGCACCTCTTCCCCGCTCTTTCCCCTTCTCTTTCCCTTTCTGTTTCTCTTTGTCTCTCCTCTGCATCTCTGCATCTCTCTCTGCACAGCACAGGAAAGAACAAAAAAAGGGACAACAAGATGTCGCAGCCCAAAATGGGAGTTCTCGACCTCGAGCAGCAGCTCCTCTCCGTAAGACCCCCCCCTCCCCAAAGCTCCACAAAGCAAAAGCTAACACCACAATGACTAGTACGCCTCCTACCACCACAACCCCGTAAACCCCCCCCCCCCCCCCCCTTTCTTCCGCCCCCGTCCCCGCACAGGCCATACTAACCCATCCCCGCCCAGCACAACATCCTCATCCACCTCTTCGGCGTGCCCGGCATAATGTTCACGGGCTTCCTACTCGCCACCAACACGCCCTCGCTCCTCGACCTCCCCTACATCCCGCTCAACCTCGGCGGCATCGGGTCGATCGTCTTCGCCGTCTTCTACATCCTCATGGAGCCCGTCGCCGGCCTGCTCTTTGCGCCGCTGATTGCGGGCATGATGGTGCTTGTCAACCACCTCACGGCCACGTATGGCGCGACCGCGGTCTGGTGGGCGTGGTGTGGGTTCCTGGGGAGCTGGGTGGTGCAGTTTATTGGGCATGGCGTGTTTGAGAAGAGGGCGCCGGCGATACTGGTTTGTTTCCCCGTTCCATGGAGAGATGTGGTGGGATGCGCGAGGAAGGAGGGAGGGAGGGAAGATAGGGAGTGCTGATAAGAAGTGGACGTAGGATAATCCGATACAGCCGATCCTGCTGGCGCCGTTCTTTGTCTGGTTTGAGATCTTGTTCTATTTCGGGTATCGCCCGGAGCTGCAGGCGCGGATCGAGGAGAAGGTTGTGCTGGAGCTCAAGAGGCTCCAGGACGAGAAGGCGAGCAAGGACAGTAAAAAGAAGGCGTGATTGGCACCTAATATGTAGCTCTAGCTAGTAGATGGGGTATGTATGTATGGTTAGTGGTGGTAGTGTCTTTTTCTTTTTTTTCTTTTTTTCGTTTGCACTGTCTGCTGGTTTTTTTTTGCGCGCGTGGGTGTGTGCGTGGTTTTCTTTTTCGCAGCGGGGAATTCGAAATGTTCTAGGTGTGGAACTTTGTAAAGAACTTCCATTTGCGTCTTTGTGTCTCTGTCGGGACTAGGGACGGCCCGTGCGTGCGTGCGCTGGTCAGGTAGAGTAACTCGGTACTTTTACTCTCTCTGCCCTAACTAAGTACCTCCATAACGCACTCTACCTATTCGTAGAGAAGAGAGGCGAAGAGGAGAGGGGTGGTGGTGGACCGTGCGCATCACGTACCTACATGTATGTAGAGTAGCGCATGCGGCGTGGGGGTTTCAACTCTTCCCTTCCCTCTAAAAAAAAACAGGAACGAGTGATATCCGGTGCTGCGTGTAACGTTTTTCCCTATTTCAGCCGCAACGCCCGGGATGGGGGCTGCATTACAAATATTATATCTCCGATACAAGACAGGGCTGGTCTGGTTGCCTGTGTCTGTGTGTTTGGTCTTAGGCGAATGGATGGATTGGAGGGAGAAACTTAAGTAGACTCAGGCGGAGTAGAGTATGTAGTGGAATATTAAACATCCCCCCTAGCTAGTATATACACCCCACGGAAGGGTGTGAGCCCACCACCCTACCACCACTTGCACTACTACACTGAGGTCCCCGGATCTAACCAACCAACCAACCAACCAACCAACCAGCAGCTAGCTAGCTAGGAAGATCCCAGATCAATCCTAGATCTGATGCCTGTACATTAGTCTACCACAGATTTCAGCGCGCACGTACCGTACCGTACTCTCTTTTCCCTCTCTAGCTCTTCTCTTCCTCTTCTAGCTCGAGTTCTAGCTCGAATTCTAGACTCCATTTAGCTACTAGCACCAGCGGTCTGTGGTTGGGGCAGGATGGGATTCCTACATGGCATTTTTATCTGCCTGTCTGTTGCGTCTGTTCTGTCTGTGGTGTGGTAATGTGAACCTGAACATGAACTCGAGTCTCATCCCTGGGAGCTGTTCCATCGGCAGGATCGAACGTGGAACGTCGTGCTGCTGTCTGTGTCTTTGATCACTGCCACGCGCGATGTTGGTACTCTACTCGTGATGTGGCCGTTTGCGTTTTTTTATTTCGTTTTTTGCTTTTTTTTTTTTTTGTGTTTGGCAGGTAGAGCAGAGTATGTATATTTTTCCAACGAGGCCGAGTGAGTGCGGTTATAAACGCATCATGGGTTATCACTCTGCAGACCACACCACACCACGCCGCGCCATGCACCTGCTGCAGATCTGTTTAAGGCTGCCTGGGATGGGATAGGATAGGATAGGATGGAGCCCTGCCCTGCCCTGCCCTGCCCTGCCCTGCCCTGCCCTGCCCTGCCCTGCCCTGCCCGGGATTTTTTTTTTGACGAAAGTGATATCATCTTTGCTACTAAAAACCCTAGAATCTGGAAATCACTGCTGGGTTGTAGTATTGTATGTTAGTAGTGTATTATTGTATTGTATTGTTATTGTAGTGTATGTTTTCCCCCATAGATGCTGAGGGTGGGCTCTAGCTAGACTAACTCGTTTTCACATAGTAATAGAGTACAACCATAACTACATCCTTTATCATCTTTTGCCTCTTCCTAGCTCATTGCCTCTTCCCTCTTCCTCCACCCCCCCCCCCCCCCCCCCCTTCCTCATCCATCGTCTGTATATATAATAATAAAAAAAGGCCCATCAAGCCGGCCGCCCGAGCACCAACCCAAGCCAGCCCAAGAGCCAAAACCAATCCAAACAAAAGACCAAAAAAAATTCACCACCAGGATTAAAAACTATATTTTTTTCTACCCTACTCCTTCCCCCAACCACCCCCCACCCCCCCCCCCCCCCGATCCCCACCACTCCCAACACTACAACCCATAACCCGTAACCACAAGCGCCCCCACCACCACCGCCGCACCCCAGAACCCTCCTAGCCCTTCTTCCCTCCCGACGGCGCCCGAGGTCCCGTTCCTGTGTGGTGGCTTGCGGGTGTTGACGACTGCGCGGGGGGCAATGGTTGGTTGTGAGCCCTATTAATTTCACTGTTAGTTTGTAATGTAGGGTAGAATGAATTTGGGGGGGCATACGGGGGGCGCGGTGATCATGTACACCTGTGCCTCCTCGACGAGCTTCTTGTATGCGGCGGCGGCGGCCTCGGCGTCGTCGGTGTTGGGCAGCAGGCAGGCGAAGGTTGAGGTCTTGTCGAAGTAGGCGCAGGAGGTGTATGGGGTGCAGCAGAGGGCTATCAATCCGTCATTAAGAAGTCAGTATAACGTATCTCCATCCTTCATTCTTTCATTCCTTCAAGCAACAGACAAAGAAAATAGAAGTAAAGACTTACAGCACTTAGCACAGTCAACTTCAAACGACGGCCCAGCAGCATCCCCAGTACCAGCAACAGCAGGAACCGCCTGCTGTTGCTCTAACTTCTGCTGATCATGATGTTCCCCGCCGGCGAGGGCGAAGGTGAAGAAGATGTTGGCCCAGACGAGGAGAAGCGTTGCCGCCAGCATCTTGTGCAATTCGTTGTTTTGTATGTGGTGGGTGGGTGTGTAAATGAGTGTGAGGAAAACAAGGAAAAAAGGAAATACCCGGTTTGCTGGTGATGAATGGAAAGGAATGGGAAAGGAGGGAAGGGAAGGGAGGGAGGGAAGGAAGGGAAGGAAGGGGAAGGAAAGAGTGATGGGGGGGTGGTAGTTGGTAGTTGCTGTTACTAGTTGGTAGTTGGTAGACTGGTAGAGAGCGGTACTTCTACTTCTTAGAGAGTGGTAGGTAGTAGTTGGTCAATGAGTAGTCAGTCAGACAGTCAGGTCAGTAGTTGGTGAAATGAATTGATGTCCGTGGTACTAGTAGGTAGTAGTGGTAGTGGTAATTGGACTACACTTCCAAAAAACTCAACCCCCCCCTCAAAAAAAAAAAGATCCGCAGAGATTTTATATTTTACGTCTTTCCCACTGCCATTGCCGTCCGTCCCCCCCCCCCCCCCCACAAGTTTATTTTTTTTTTTGCTTTTTTATATGTATGTTTGCATATATTACTCTATCTACCATAAGTACCGGGCATGATGATCCAGACGGCGGCCAGTACTCTAGCTCTACATCTTCCTATGTAGATACTTATCTAACTCCCCTCGCCCTACCACTCTCGATATCTCCCCTACCCTCTACCTCTCTCTACCTCTCCTCTACATTTCCCAAAAATCAAAACCCAGCAGTCTTCTAGAGACAGCTAGCGCCGGCAGTTTCCGCAGAAGCGGATTGGCTGGGCAGCAGTACAATTGTTAAAAGGATGCTGTCATGGGAAACACTAGTAACCAAGCTAGAACCCCACACACGACACACACACACCACACAACGTAAAACGACTGGCAGAAAGTTACATCGTAAATAAAGGGGTGGAGGGGTTCAGAATTTTTTTTTTTAGCCAACGGTAGGTACTTCTAGAGTACCCGCCTCTCCCGTCCCCAGTGCAGTGACCGTGCTGACCTAGCTACTGGTGGAGCGAGTGCGTAGTAGTCAGTTAGTGCTGTACTACTGTGGTAGGGCAACAGTGACATCGTGGATTTCTAAACAGTTGGGTAGGGACAGCTCTTGTACGTAAGTACCATAGGTACAGCAATTGCACGCAAGCAGGCAAGCAAAGGTAAGGCTCGAGGCCCAGGGACCGGCCAGCCAGCTGGAAAACGAGTCTGTAGAAATATGCAAGCGTGAGACATGATTTCTGAAGAAGGTCTACCTGCGCAGCCCAGCTAGCTGTTCGGCTTGGGTTGGGTTGGTTGGGTTGATACAATCGTGAACAGCAAGATTAGAAGATGGAGATACACACAACGCAACAAACACATGACCGGGCTAGACTGGTATGGTTAGTTTGGTTAGTAGGCAATGAGAGGAAAGAGGTCCAGAGCCCAAAGTATTTATACGGGACTGATAACTAGCTACTTATAATTATGTAGATACGACGGGGGAGGGATGTAGGTAATAATTTTCTGTGTGCTCTACTCTATGGAGGTTCAGGCAGATAGATGCCAAGTACCTTTGTGCCAATGGTGCCCTATCTCTCCCAGCGTTGTAACAAGTACCACCGCGATGAAGTAACAGCTACATTGGACACTGGGCCGTGATAACAAAAAAGGAGTTCTACCTATCACCCCCCTCCTACCTCCTACCTCCCCTCACACAAAACAATTTTTTTCAGCGTCGCGCACAAATACATAAAGCGCAAGCCCATCCCATCCATCCATCCTTCCATCCTCCCGCCTATCCTCCCGTGATCATGCCCCAAATGCGCACGTAGGACTAGAGTAACTCGATCGTTTACCTAATGAATTGCCCCCCATGTGAGACAACAACGTCCGGGCGCCGCGCGGGCGGTAAAGGGCTACATAAGAGTGGCTCAATTACATGACAAATTAAATCCCCGGACGCAGCTGAAGCGTTTCTAGACGAGTCCTACCGTAAAAACTCGATAGGTGAGTCCCAAAATACAGGGTGAATAGCAGTGGAGAAACATAAAGCGACCAATCAGAGAGCTCGGATTCGATAGATGAGCCCGGGCTCACCTATCGAGTTTTTACGGTACTCTATTTCGAGTGTTTCGGCTTTCTGGAAGATTTGGGTGTCGTTGACAGTGCGTTGCGGTTAGCGCTAAGAGCGCCCTACACACAAGCGATCACTCGGGGTGTGGGCGCTGGCTGGCTGGGGTTACACAGTCATCTCTCCCACCCCAGCCCTCTCCGCACAACCCGCAATGGTACCGCATACATGTAGCCAAGCCCCACTCCCGCCCCCGCTCGCTCCCCGCACAAACCCTAAATCACAGCCCATCACTCGCCGCCCAACTACATGTAGTAACCGGCTAAGTTCTCCCCCAAACCGCCAAAACCCCTTCCAAGCCCCGTTCAGCCAAATGCTTATTTCTGCCCGTATTAGGCATGGGTTTAGAACCCCGGCCCCGATCCTGCGATTCGACTTCTTAATCCAACTACAATTCGTATATACAAGCCACACACAGGCCACATTTTTTTCGAATATACTCTCTAAACTACATATCATGACTCTTCGAAAACGGACCTTTTGAGCACCCACTACGAGCAGGATCTCTAGCGCTAGTGCCATTTGTGCTCCCGTATGAAATGAACCGCAAGGTATGAAGACTCCGAGTTAAAAACAATCCATTTCCGTCTGCGAACAAAAAGGTACGTTGTTACGTGGTATAAATAATCATATAAGGAAAAAAGAAGGGTTATATCCAAAGACAGATTAAATGAGAAACAGCCATCGAAAAAAAAAAAAAAAGAAAAAAAAAAAAACAGAGATCATTTGAAGAATCAAGGAGAGCTAAAACAGTTTGTAAAGTCAATACCCTCTCAAGGGGTGTAGTAGGGCCATTGTATCACGCATATCGTCGGTGTAACCTTTCACAGCCCGAGCCCCCATGTTAGATATGAACTCAGGAACGCCCGTAGATTCATAGTGTAGAGCACAATCGTATATGGACGCTCCATCATGTGCTCTGATCGTGGTGTCAATTGTGTCGAATGCCAGTAGTCTTCGGATGAGTATACAATTTCCATTTAGAGTAGCAACATGAAGGGGTGTGCACCCGTCCTTATCCTGGGCGTTGAGGTGTTCAGGGGAGCAAAACTTGTCGAGAAGATAGTCGACAACATTTGATAAGATTATGCGATCGTAGAAAGGAGTGGTGAAAGGAATAAGTGCAGCTACGTGCAACACAGACAACCCAAAGAGATCGGTAATGCCATAAAGCCTGCGGGTTTCTGTCCAAGGGCCAATTGGTGGTCGAATAGGAAAGTCATGAACGCTACAGAGTTGTACGCACATGTTCGTACAATCAATCCAAGCGTAGTCCAGCCCCCGCCTTTAGTTGTCAATTCGTCGATAGAAACTCCCGCAGCCAGTAAGGTCGAAGCGTCCATCAGCTTACCCGCACCGACCGTATTAGTCAATACATCAGGATAACTTCCATCAGCCTCTTTACCAACGCCGCACCCAAGAAGGTATTCTTGCATCTCGCTTGTTGAGTCTATACACAGGGCACCCCGATCGCGAGCCATAATCACATCCGCAATCTCACTCATCTCATCCGGGTTGTCGAACTCGCAAAGGAAGTGTAAGATAGTTTCGCCATACCTGGTCCTTGCTGTGACATTTGCCCCGGCACCAATAAGAAGTTTCGCGATCCTGAAGTTCCCTAGCCGGCATGCCGATAGGAGAGGTGTAAATCCAAGGGCGTCTTTGAACTCGAGGAACTCCGTCCGAAATCCCTCCATCTGTAAAATCAGGTCAACAGCCTCTGCAAAGTCGGAAGAAACCGCATAATGAAACGCGCTGTGACCTAAGGCCAAAACCTTTGCTGTCCTGTGAAATCTCTCGATATCAGCCATCTGTCCAGCTACAAGTTTATCCTTTTCTTGGGAAAGTGCATCTGGATAAGTAAATTCTGGGATGCCATATAAGTGTATTCTATGATTTATACTGCGAAGGCGACTGTACGAAGCATTTTTCGGCATCGGGAAGTATCGCATAAGTTGTTGGAAGACCTCGTAGCTGTTTGTTGTACGTGCCATAGTCATAAGACCTTTGAATGCCTGCTGCTCATATTCTGTGCACTCGCCTTTGGAGGCGGATGTAAAACTCCTGCATTCATTCATATCAAAGAACATTGGTTGAAATATCGCCACGGGAGGGTGCGTGGATGCACACTCGTCTATGAGACGCTTCGCCTCTGGAAGTCTGGCTTAGTCACCCATCCCATGAGAAGGGAGAAGGCTCGGAAGACTTTTGCCTGGCATCTTTCGTCGGGAGGAAGGTTTGGGTCAAAGCAGATCTCTGTAAACCCCTTTTTGATTGAAACCGGAAACTGACGCGTACCAACGACGATGCGTTGGAACGAAACAGTTTCGATACGTTGAAGACCTAACTCGGGACGGAGAGTGATGCCTGGGGGAATGGAGACATAAGAATCGTTACTATAATATTGCTCATTTATGTGAGTTGGCAGTCACAGGACAAGAAATCGGCAAAGGGTAAAGGCTCCTGCTCACCCAACGAACCATGTATCCCAGATTCGCAGAATATCCTCCATCGACCCTCGCCTATTCGCATCTGGTTCCAGTGAGCATCGGAATAGGGATTGAACCAATGTTTCGATCATCTTGCCGCCATGTTTAAAATAAGTAGACGCATTCGAGCTTAACGTCCAATCCTTCAGTCTTTCAGCCTCCTCTCTGATTTCTGGATTACTTCTATGATAATCCTTCCCCTCCAAGCCAAACAGCGCCCCAATATCCTTTTTCGCAAGTAAAGTCCAGACTAGTAATCCGTAGGAAAATACATCCGACTTTTCCAATTGAGTCCAGGTGCGTGGTTATTCCATTCCGGATCATTCCAAGGCCATTTACGTCCTTTCAAACTGAACCTATCTGTACCGTCGCACACCGAAAGCCCAACGCTGAACCCAAAGTCTGTAAGCTTCGCTCGTAGCCCAAAGGCCTTCGCAACACTAGTATCCTTCTCATCGGCCTCGAATATCAAAATATTGTCAGGCTTTATGTCTCCGTGTACAACGCGGTGTTTGTGGAGAACTGCAAGACCCTCCGCAATGTTCCGACAAAGGCTCTCTTCCATCAAATGTCATCGCGGCATACAAAGGGGTTTGCATGAAAGCTTCCAAAGATCCATGCTTTGCATATTCGAGGAGTATGACAGGCACTCGCTTGGGTGGAAGAACTGTTTGCCCAGGCTCAACCTCCGGCAGCTCACACTGCCAACTGATTCCTAGAAAGTCGACAATGTTTTTATGGAAATAGATCGGCGGATGGGTCAAGACCCAGACCTCAAGGATTACTGCCTCCAACCTGCCTTCGACTGCGCCTTGCTTTGGATTTCCGCAACTATCAAACTCGATCATGGGTCTCTTACATGTGATTGGGTTAGCGTGGTAAGTTCTCAGTAACAGATCACCAACTGGTGGCCGGATGACCAGCCTTTTCGGCCACGAATTCTTCAATTCAAGTGTTGCCGGCAGGGGAAGACGTGAGACATGGAATGTTTTTCCTCTCCCGAGAAACTCGGATGTTTCACCGTCTATTTGGGAGATGACAGCCGTAGGCAGTGAAGAAAACCCAGAAGTGCTTTGTAAAGTTGCGATGGCGTTACCAATATACCTAATGAGGCTCAGAAACTTGGATTTCCTCTGAGCCGTGGAGGTTGACGGTCTAAATGTCGTAATGGACTGGCTGTTGATATCTGTATTGCTCGAACTCACATGCTCGGTGCTATTACTACTGGATGTTTGAATTAATCCATGTTTGGGTCTTTGATACGGTGTGTACTCCGAAGAAGTGCAGGATGTCATAGTTTGAGGTGGTTGGACAGATTATTGTTATTTCACACTTATTTCAATTAGCCGAGCGTCATAATATTGAGTAAGGTAAATGGCTTTTACCTAGATTGCGCTTATAGGAGTCCACAATTGATGGCAGTCGTATAGAGAGAAATAAATGGGGTGGAGATGACGGCAAGATATATATATATGAGAACCAGAATGAACATAGAAGGTTGTAGGATAGCGTCCTATATCTTGAGCTAATCGGTACTTCTTGAGACTCGTGGGTATGCATATGCATAGCACATCAGTAGACGACTCAGGAGTATGGGTGGCCTGGTTCCTGACACCGAAGACTACTCTTTCAGAGAATGTCGTGTCCATGTCGTCCCAATGGCCCCCTCAGCCGTACATTGCTCTTGCTACTGTTGACGCACCTCCGGGACTATCACATATCCAGTGGCCCATTTGAAGTTGGCATCACCGTGTATCAATTGGCAAAGCCACATTTTTACACCATATGCACGCTCATACCCATCGCGCTTAAGCTCGCATTCACTCTGCCATTTTGCCAGTGGAGAGATATCCAGGTAACGCGGACCGACCCCATGTCGTCCTACAGATTTAGCGTGAGATTGAAATAACCACCCAAGAATATGCCCAGAGCGATGTGGCGTTTGGATCCAGATTTTGAACTAAAGCATTCTCCGGAAGCTTTAGAGATCGATGGGGCAGTGAAATTACTCGTACTCCATCGAGTTAAATCCCGCGACTGTCAGGCTGATGCACACGCGGGAGAACGACTCATAGTAATGTGAACGACGTGCCTGCTCTTGTAGAGGTGGGCGCAGAAGTGGGCAACTGGGCTGAACTCACACTAGGTAGTAGGTTGAGACCTGCAGGGTTGGCTGAAAGGTCAACGTGCGACACAAAGCTTAATTCATGTGCAATTATGAGCGGCGGCAGCGGTTATTGCACACGCGGAGTACTCTAATCTGACATTCACCCCAAAATATTACGGACAACAGATACGCCGTACATTATACCCCGCAAATAGTTTAACCCAAGAACCAATCTCCGATTCATACATGAACTGGAGCTGTCGATGTGATGACGTGATCGAGTGATGCCTCATGTCTCGGCACGCGTGAATGTTGCTTTAAAAAAAGAACGTCTACTTCCCCACAGCCGCCCGAACGCTTCGGTATGTCCAATGGGGCTACATATCTCCTGGTTTTCATCGGCATGTTGCCACTACATATTAGTTAGGCCCTTTGCTCAGACAGAGCTGGCTCCAGATTCTAGTACGTACTTGTATGATTGGTTGATGAGCCGGGAGGATCGGCGCCAATTATCAGGTCATTGCCAGAATTTGTCTTTTGCATTGCGGGTAATATGATATTGTTGCTCCAGCCACTTCAACGCTCAGCAGCTGGCTAACTGCCCTCTTAGGCTCGTCCTTAGCCACCCGGCCCCTGCTTCCATGCTTCCAGCGGGAGGCCTAAGACTGACACTGGCACTGAGCAGCTTGGGATGGGTACGAGACTACTGCCCTCTTTGTGAATCAGAACATAAATAACCTTATACGAGTGTAGATACATATATATAAGATCACAGATTCTTCTTCCCGCACCACGGGCATCCCATTAATCCTCCATATATGGAAGTTGCCGGATTTGTCGTTGGGGTCCTCCCTCTTGCCGCGCAGCTCTTCCAATCCACCCTGATCCTCTATTCCCAGTACTCCGATGCCCAGGACGTCGGCAAGACGTCCACCAAATACCGGACATTCCTCCAGATCGAGCGGCACCGCTACGAGAATGTCGGAGTCTATATCGGCCTGACTAGTCAGGGCCAGGGGGCTCCCGCAGTCCGCCTAAGCCCTGCAACTCTAAATCTCATCCTCGACATCTTGGCACAAATTGCCCAAGCTCTGCTCGAGACACAGAAGCTCGAAAGAAAATACAGTTTCCACAATAATTCCTCCCCATCGCGGACGGAGACTTCTGCTTCCAGTTCTGCACCTAGCCCGCCGCCGGATCCGCTTCACGCCGCGGTATCCAGCCGGCTGGAGCGCCACGTCGTGATTGCACAAGAGGTCAAGAAAAGTGTGTCTCTCATCTCCAGTCTGCGGTTTGCGGTATGGGACAAGCCCAAGTTCGAACAGTTTATCGTGGATCTCCGGAACCTCAATGACGGGCTCGAGAATGTTACTGGCTACCAAGCTCAGCTTCGGAGCCAGCTGATGGTGCAGATGCTGGACGTAAAAGCGATCCAGGACCTGTCCGCGCTCAGCATAGCGACTGCGGCGGTTTACCCTACGCTTTCGGAGATGGCCAAGCGGAAGGCGGCGTACCTTGACATGCGGGACCGGCAGTTGCAGAAGACCGCCGGAGGCCCGCTGCAGCCGGGACAGGGATCGGAGCTTAAGCTTGATTATTGCGAGCTCGTTATGCGGAAGGAAGCACATCCAACCGGGCGGACGTTTGGGACATATAAGGGCACGCCTATCATGGTTGAGTGGAGGCTTATCACCAATTTTTACGACGAGAGTATCTCGAGAGTGCAAGATATGGTAATGTTTCTGGCAAAGAGTAGTGTCGCCCAGGATGATACTCTATCTCCTTCCCATCTACTAGGATGCATGGGGTAATGATTTTTCCTTCCCCAATATCTCTTCCCGTGATGATGGACAATGACTTATATATCGTCGGTGTCGAGCAGTTACTCTCTCAAGCCTGGCCAAACAGAACGTATCGCCATTGTCTACAAGACATGCGACACAAAGCATGACACGCTCCACGGCATGATCAATGACGATGAATACACCGATCTCAACCTCGGCACCCGATTCCGCCTGGCGCTCTCCCTCGCCGAGTGCATATTCCACCTGCATCTCACCGGCTGGCTCCACAAGGGCCTCCGGAGCTCCAACGTCATTATCCGCGGCGACGCCTCCCAGAGCGCCGACGATACAAAAGCCCTACGGGCATACCTCGCCGGATTCGACACCGCACGACTCGACGCCGACCCCGAACGCTCCGAGAAGAACGAAACCGACGCCCATTCCGACCTCTACCACCATCCGCGGTACCAATCCTCAACCAGGGACGAAAACAGGTACACCCGCCAGTACGACATCTACAGCCTTGGGATGCTCCTGCTGGAGCTTGGGTCGTGGCAGCTGATCGAGAACGGTGGGTCGTACAAGCCGAAGGGACACAACCCAGTGCGGTTTCTCAACAGGCTGCTCAAGGGACCTGTGCAGAGCCTGCGCTTTACGATGGGCAATGCGTATCAGAGAGCAGTCCTGTGGTGCCTCCAGGGGCAGTTTGAGAAGAACGGCGGTGGGCAGGGCTTTGGCTCGCTGACGGACTCGGAGATGTCGACCGTGTTCTGGGAGAAGGTTGTGCTGGAGTTGGTCAAGAGCTCAGTTGAAGAGTAGACTGATTATGTATCTATCAATGTAAAATTAATATACATGTAGTTTCGGTTTCATTTTCTGCCAGACATGATATTTGAGAAGACAGGCTTTTTCCCAGAGTGACCGCCCAACTCCAAAGCCTAGCCTATGTTGTAGCCCTCTCCGCCCGCATACTTAACCCCAACCCGCATAAGCCAAGCCAAGCCAAGCCCCACTCCCGCTCCCGCTCCCCGCATAAGCCTCAAATCACAGCCCATCACTCGCCGCCTTTGCTACCGGCTAATTAAACCGCAAAACCCCTGCCAAGCCCCATTCAGCCAAATGCTTGTTTCTGCCCTTTTAGGCATGATCTGCCGTTTCAACCTTCAACCCTAGCTCCACCCTTCCCTCAACCCAGCCTTCCATCCATCCATCTCACCCCCGGGCCGTCGCGAGTATATTGGAGAGATCAAATATGCAGCACCGGCCCGCCTACGCCGCCGACACACGGAGAATTATTGGCGGTGTTCCGATGGAAGCAGCGGGGAACAGGCTGGCTGGGGAAACCTGGGGTGTAGAAATTACTTTCCATACCTAGATGTTTAATTCGATGCTGGGTATAGTAGATGCTATAGATGATATAGACAAACAAGCATTACTCTATATACCCCAAACCCACGCCCTCCTCCCATCTCCCCTCTACCGCCCTCTCCCCTTGAGCTTCTAGTGGAGCTTAAAACCCACCTCTGCCCCCTCCCCTCCACTCCACTCCCCACAAAACCCAAGACACCCGCCCAAAAAACTTCAGAATGAAGAGCCAACTCCTCACCCTCCTCCTTCTCTCGATCTCCGCTAGCAGCGTCCATGGCGCTGTAGCAGCGTGGGGCCAGTGCGGCGGCGCCACATACAGCGGCGACACGGCGTGCGTAAGCGGGTATGCGTGCACGAAGGTCAATGACTGTAAGTCCCGCTCCTATCCGTACCCGCAGCCGAAACAACCGCCTCCACTACACCCCAGCCAGCTCACTAACCGCCACAGACTACTCCCAATGCCAACCCGGCACCGCCTCCGCCTCCACCGCCTCCACCACCGCCGTGACTCCCACGACCGCCACAACCACCCCCTCCACCACCGCATCCGGCACAGCCCCCACCGGCACAGGCCAACTGATTCGCGGCGTCAGCACGCCCATCTACCACCTGTATCTGCAGTCCCTCTCCGGCGTGCCAGTAATGGCCGCCGAGGCCACCGCCGAGCGCTTCATCATCTCGGGCTCCATCCAGGACACCACATCCGGCCTGTACCTGAACGTGGACAGCTCTGCAACGACGAGCTATAAGGCGATTTCGTTTGGTGCGACGGCGACCACGACGGGGTGGGGGTTGGAGGGCGATACGATTATTACCACGAATGCGAGTGTGTTTGGGAGACGTGAGTTTGCCCTTTCTTTTGGTTGGGGGGATGGGGTGAGGGGACGGGGAAGGGGAGAGAGAGGCTAACAAGTGTGCGTGATGGACAGAGCTCAACTTCTTGGCGTGCGAGACGTCGACGGCGGGGGCGTATAAGCTGTATCTGCAGACGGGGAGCGACACGCCGAGTGGTGAGACTTGTACGTTGCAGACGCTGCATTTGCCGTGTTTGTGCTAGACTAGTAGACGCCGGTGGGGATACATGGAGGAATGTTGAGTTGTATTTATTTATTGGGGTTTGTGTATTTATTTGTATTTAGGTTATGGAAGGCAGTGGCAATGGGACAATGATCGATTTGCCAGCTTTTTTTCGTGCTTAACTAGCTGGATATGTGGTGTTACTACATTTGACCTAACCTAACCTAACCTAACCTAACCCAACCCTATCTATAGACATAAGTACATGTATTTAATTAGCTCCCCTATTAATACGTTATAATAGTAAACCTGAAGATATATGTTACCTATAATACCTAAAGTTGTAGAATATTAGAAATCTATATTGGTAAACCCGCACCCAATTAATCCGCACGAAGTATGTACGACGAGACTGGACGTCAGTACACATACCCAGTACCATGGGCCAAACAAAGTTTTCTCTAGCTACATCTAGTTCCTCTACCTTCTTTATCCAGCTTCATACAGTACTGGCGTAACCGCCCCTCTCCAGCTTCACTCCCAAACCCACTCCCAACCACACCGCCCAACCAGCCAACCACACCCACCGCCCTACCAAAAACGAGCAGAGCCCAAATCTACACTTTCAGCCCCTCCATCTCGCTTTCTGCACTCGACCTTACCCGTAGCGAGTGATATCCTATGGCCCCAATTCAACCACGACACAGGTACTTCTCCTCAGCCGCATGCATGCTGCACACTGCACGCTGCGCGGTTTTCTCCATCTCAAAACTTAGAAGGCAGCACACGCTTAATCTTAAATACATTCCAGTCCCCCCCTTCCTTCCACCGCCAGAAGAGAAACATCTAAACATTAAACTACAAATCATCCCCCCCCTCCCCCCCGCTCAGCGGTGCTTTTTTTTTTTTTGGTATGTGTGTGTGGCAGAACAGAGGGCATATTAACCACTAGCTAATTCGAACCTCCATATGTGAAGGGGGTGAAAAAAAAAGAGAAGGAAGGAGGAAGGTGGAGTAGAGTACGTAGAAAGAAGTACATAGAATGACAAAAAACAAGGGATCCACGAAAGCGCCATTACTAATTAACCCCCATAACCACACAAAAAAAAGGACAAAAAGTAATAAATAACATGAGCAGCCTCTACTGGCACGACGTAGGATATCAATCAATCAGTCAATAAAATAATGGCATCAGAGAAAAAAAGGCCCATTGATAGGCGTTAGTTCGTTCAATACACAACAACGCTTACAACCCTCTCCCTCCGCCACCACCCTCTCTATGACTCTCAAACAGGTCTTCTAAGTAGGTACTCGGTGCCCTTCCTGTCGGTGGTAGACTCAACGACGCCGTACTCGCGCCCGCCCTCACTGCCATCCCCTGTGGCCCCATCATCGGACTTCCAGGCGGACTAACCCCCGAATTCCCTCTACCTCCACCACCATATCTAGTGCTCGATATGCTCTGGGAATGCACATGCGTGTGGCTTCCGTTCGCCTGTCCCATGATGAGAGAGTCTCTCTGACCCGAAGCATAATATCCCGCCGGCAAGTACGCAGATCTACGATCGCCAGCTGCGCCGCCGCCTGCGGTCGGGGAGAAGAAAAGAGAATGGTTCGGCGTCATCTGGCGGCCATCAGGACGGTTTGCAGTTCTGGGCGAGGTCGCAATATGGTCAAGGCTTAACTGGGAGCCAGGTCCAGTAGAGTAAAAGCCTCCAGAGCCAGAGGGTGGTGGTCGGAGATGAGATTTAGATTTCGAGTCGGAGAGATGCACATTCGAAGCAGCCTTACGAACGCTTCTATGAAGACTCCATGCAACGAGGCCGCGCCATGCGATCACTGCGAATGCAAAAAAGGCAAGCGCAGACCCGACAGCAATGAATACGGTGCCCTCAGGGAGAGTTGATTTCTGTATAAATGGTGCATTGCTGGTCGGAGGGACTGTAACGACTGGTATAGCCAGGCCACTGGTTCCTGTGAGCGAAGGGAGCTTCGCTGTGCTTGTACTAAGACTGGGGACGGCATCAGTTGCAGTCACGGGAATACCTCCAGTTATGATAACTTTCGAGGTGCTGGTTTCAGCAGCAGCAGTCGTTGATGCTTCCTCAGATCTAGATGATGTAGTTTCTCGGCCTAAGGTAGGAAGCGCAGCAGTGGTGGTGGTGGCAGCAGTAGCAGTGTTTTGGGCAGTTGTTCCATCCTGAGCTACAACAGTCGTAGCGAGGGCACCAACAAGGAGGCTGTATATTAGGGAAGAGTTGACCCTCATGGTGTACGGCAACGACAGTGATGGGATGAAATACGACCAAGGACGAACAAACGAGCGAAGGTGGTGACTATTACGACACGATAGCGAGCGAGGTTGAGCGCGGGGTGTATGTAAGTAAATTAGACGCCTTTGTAAGGGATTTTTCCCTTTTTCTTCCTTTCTGATCTCGCAATTACGGGAGTCCAGGCGCCGCAGCAGCAGAAGCAGGGACTTTCCTTTTTGGAAAGGTGAAGGGAACGTCGGGGCTAAAAGCGAGCAAAGTCACGAGCTCTGTCTGAACTTGCAGCGGAAGCGGCAATTGGGAGACGGGCAACAACCGACGAGTCGAATTTCCTGCGGGAGTTGTAAAAAGCTGAGGTACTGTGTTGCACCTATCGATCGTATTCTATGCAGTAATAATATTGAAGAGAAAACGAAGGGAGAACAAATAATAATAAACTGCATCACCAAAATAGATTAGTTAAAGAGCAAACAACATCTTTCCTAATCGCACCATTCTGCCTGCCGGACCCCCTGCAGAAATCCCCGGGGCACCAATTTGCCGAGAAGCTGGGGGGCATAGAAAACTAGCAAAAACAAGGGGGTAGGGGAAGGCCAGCATAACATACCTACCACGCAAAATAGAGGAATGACAACGAAGAGGGACTGGAATGTCAACTGAAGTAAGCAATTACATGTATATAAAGCTACATCACATGTCTGACCTAAATACATGTTGGTACCATCATAGGAATCAAATCAAGAAGTGAGGGTCATGTTACCCTACCCTGCGGAGTCTCTCCTCCATCCCGCCCGTTGAGCCGCTGTCAGCCATGCATGCATCGATCACCACTGAATTGAAAAACCTCACCAATCCTTTGAGCGAGAGTTGACGCAGGCGTTGTGCTCCGGAGTAAATAATGTAAGGGATTGGACTATTTAAAGAATCAGCTCAGAACATCTCGACATATAATCTGACAACAAATTCACTTTGCTGTCTGATGTTTGAAGGCTCTCTTCTCGTGATGGATGGATGTATTGGATTTTCCTGACTTCTTAGCTGCATTGCAAGACCAGGACAGTGCGAAAGAGAGACACCTAGCCCGACAAGAGGCGGTATACCGGTGTTATATGTTATCGCGACCCAGACTGACTACAGTACCTGTACTTTACACATCATGACACTTGTCTCTAGCGATACACCCCCACCCCCCCCCCCCCCCCCCTTTTTCTTTTAAGGCCACACTCTAACAAAATGGCTACTTGATACAGACAACTGCTGTCGTTGTAGATGTTTATTCGACCCAATCAACAGCCATACAACGTCATTGGCTCAAATCAAAATCCACGCATGGTCCCTGCATTGATTAGATCAGGAAATGGCTAGATAATGTTGTGCCATGTGACGAACCTTAAATTCGCATACATACATCGCGGGAATACATGTATAACCACCATCGTCTTTTGATCATGATCCGCGGACACAAGAATCGCAGATTCCTATCGGTACCACATTTGAGGTGCCTGTATGTAGTACGCCAGGGGGGAAATCCTGGAACGTTAATTCTAACGAAGATATATGTTACTATGGGAAAGGGGGAAGCTTGTAAGGATGGAAAAATTACAACTACATGTATAGTCCAGAATTCGTCAGGTTAATGTCTACAGTTTTGAAATTTTTTGAATGTTTTTCAATATATTACCTTTCATAGCTATTAAAACATTGACCTCGCTTGCACTCGGCCAAGAAGCAAAATTTACTATAAACTAATTGATTATATAGTACCGCTTGGTGGATTTTCCTAACAAATCTCGGCCAATCGAAGCGCGATCTTTTTCAAGTGGGGGCGGGTGTTCGAGTGGTTAGAATACGTCTACCCGGGTTAGGTCCCTATAATACCAACCCGCGAGGGATTTGGGCATCTATTCGACCTGTCGTTAGCATCTACCACAGAAAGGTTATCAAGTATTAGTATTTATTGTTTCTATGATTCTGAAATTTCTATTTTGTCGTATTAATCCTAGCTCTAATAGAAAGAAGAAGAAACCAGAGGATGTGTCAATGATCAAGCTTCCTTACACTAGCGAATTACAAACAATTATTTTCACAAGATCTCACTCGCTTCCAATATTTCCGGCATGAACCCGAATTTCATTGATTGGTTTATTCATGGCATAAACGTAGGTGGGACAGTCTGAGACCGGCAGAAAGATGGGACATACGTGTGACACATTGAAGGGAAGATGAGGTGCACTTTTCAATAGTTGTTGGTTGGCTGCACATGGGGGTACAAGTAGAGAAATTTGGTAAAGCTTAATGGCAATGAATTGGTAGATCTTATTAAAGCGTGATTATGATTTGAATCACGTCTCTCTTTATATCGGACTCTTTGAATTCATGAAGCATACCTATAGTTATCGTTAGAATCTTCGCCTGAAACGTAGACCAGCTAGTTTCACCAAATTAACATGCAGATCAGATAGGTCTTTCCATCGTCATAGTGCAGAGAATGTATACCCTAACTGGTCCAAGAATGTCAAGCACCAGTAAATACTGAAGTGGCTGGATTGGGACCGGCATGTCATGCACATAACCGATGCACCAAGGCAGGGGGCATGTCAACTTGAATTAAGGAGATCTTAAACTTTTTGATAAGCTGCGGGTGAGTGGATTAGGCGAATATCTCACCCTCTGTTTATAAATCTGCCAAACTCTTATAAGGCTGAGCTTATGTAGTGGTTATATTCCGGGTGATCTCCTGGATTGATATTTGCTGTCTCATAAATTTGGCAGCATGCGGTAATATACGAAGGGATATATATATATAGAGAGAGTTTGAGATTCTAAATGTAGTTAGAATACGTACATGTAGCCAGCAGTCGAAGATTCTTCCTGCATGTCGTGATAATGACAGTTTATTAGAAGCGCTTGAGTCTCTAGCATACAAGGGGGCAAGATATCAGCACAAAGTCTCCCCTCACAATCTGCCTTCTGATTCTATTCAATCGCTGCAAAAGGAACTATATGCAAAGAAAAGCTCAATTCGCTGATTATATTCCGATCCTGAACCCTACTGAAATGCTCCAACGAACCCGACCCGCCAACAAAAGAAATTGATTTCATACCACATTATAGCCTTGATATCCAGTAAGACTCCTACTACCTTATGTGTTCAACCTAGCATGGTTTTTCCCTATAACAAAACACTCCATGAGGAAACCAAATCCTCCATAAATCAAACAAAAACAACCATCAAAGGAACAAAGAATAAATCCATTTAGTCAAAACTCAAGCTAACTAGCTCAATAACATTTCCACCACTCTCGCCGCCTCTTCTTCACTCAATGGGCCCTTCTTTCTCGCACCCACCGAACCTAGTGCCCTCACAACTAAAGCCACGGGGAACCCCATGCTGGCGAATCCGTCCACTGTGTTTTGGTCGTAGCCGCCATATTCGATCGCCCGCTGCTGCGCTGGCGTAGGTCCACTCGTACCCCCTGTTGACCCCGATGATTGCAAGTCTCGCGGGGCACCCGCATACCGCACTGCCCATTCCCGAGCACGAGCTTTAAAGACCTGCGGTGTCGCCAACATCATCTGCGCAACCTCGGCATCCTGCGGATCCGATGGTTCGGGGGCATCGAGGAGGGATTGCAGTGATAGGAGTGCAGTCTTGATTGTAAGCACCGGCGACCATTTCTGCGAGAGAGTATCCAGACAGATCGCGCCCTGTATCGATCAATCAGCACCATCGAAAATGGCTTTTAAGCAAGAAGAAGCAAGTGAGAGGAAGGGGAAATTACAGTTTGGCTGCTGACATTCGGATGCCAGACTTTAGTTTCGAACTTCATCTTTGGTGGCATAAAAGGATAATTATCGGGCAATTTGATATCAATTACGAACTCGCCGCCTTCATAAGGCGTTCCTGGGGGTCCTTTAAAGCGACCCTGCAGATGCGTCATGTCCGACGGATCCAGGGGCGTTGCATGCATTCCCGAAGAAGTATCTTTGGCCATGTCGTCCAGCTCCTTCATAATACGTCTTCTGGTAGCCATTTTGTGGGGTAACTTCTAAGAATACTTCGAATGGGGGGTTAAGAACAATACGAAGGGAGGAATCGGAGGTGTTTTATTAGGTGGTGGGGAGAGGAGGCTAACTATTGAAGAAGGAATGAGCCCTTTAATGTACAATATAATGGTTGTGGGTGTCCTGTATTAGTGGGGCTCTCGTGGAAAAAGACTTTGAGCGGAATAGGCGGCAGACAGGGCAGTTTTGCGTCACGTCAGGAGAGCTTGACTCCAAAATGGATACCTGCAGAACCGCTCGTGGATTATAATAAAATAGGTAGACAGCGGTACCTGCCTGACGCGCGCTCATTGTTAGCTTCAGTAAAACAACTCGATACAGGCAGGGGTGACCCAGAGCGACACTAAGAACTCGATGATGGCAGCTACTCACACAATAAGATACTTCAGATGGACGCAAATAACAATTCTATTCTCAAGAACTGAATGGGGTTGAGGACGACCTTGACATCAAGAAGCGGCTCCGGGCAGACGTCAGGGGGCCTATCGCATCAGGCGGGGTCAATTGATCTCCAGCCTTTACATCTTATCTAATCGCATTTCACGTGACACTAATGCACAATCGTGTGTTGAGGCACAGCATGAGTTAGGGTGTCAGGGACCACCCACCCCACCAAGATACCGAGAATGATAGCTCGGTGTGAGCTACTAGTTGAAGGTCTAAAACGATTTAAAGCTCATAGAGTGTTCCCAAGGAACGTATAGAAGCTAATACACCCCCTGGAACAAAGGAGAGGTTCAATAAATACTTCCGAAAACACAACACTAACCCCGGATGATGTCTGCAACAAGGTTTCGCCATCAAAAGTACACTTTAAGAACACAGAGACTAAACGGGAGCTAAGAGAGAGAAAAAAAAACATTTAAATAGAAGAAGTTCAGAAGACAAAAACCTCCATGCTGACTGAAACACGCTGGTATCTTAATGTCGGAATCGTTTCCCGACCAATCACATCTGCTTCTGCCCCTGAGCCCAGAAAACGAAAAATGGTTTCAAATGCATGTATAGAAACAATGTGAAGGTGGTCCGAATCCCCTTTCCCACGTGGACTGCAATAGCTGAAAGTTGATCACAAACTGTCGAGCTGCTTGGAGAACTCATCCAGCTCTGCCTGGGCTGCCTTGAGCTTCTCCATAGTCTCCTCGCACTTCCTCTCCCAAGAGTCTCGCTCGGCCTCGACGGTAGCAACCTTACGTTCGTAGTGCTCAGCCTTGACATCGGTGAGACGCAGTCTAGTGCGGCGAGTTAGATGCAGATCGATAAATGATTTCTGGAAAGGAAGTATCTCTCTTTGATTATGCAGGTGTAGTAAAAGGGAAACTTGCTTTTCGTTTGTCTCTCTCAAGTTCTTGTCTGCCTCCTCGGCCTCCTCTTCCAGCAACTGCACCTTCCTGCTTAGCGAGTCGACCTCGGAACCGTGGGCGGCACCAGTGTCGGCAGCACTCTTGGCCTCGGAGAGTTGCTTCTCAAGTTTCTCGACTTCTCCGTCGAGGAGTGAGTTCCGGTGGGTGAGGGATGCGATCTCTTGTTCCTTTGTAAGGTTCTCTTGCTCGAGAACCTTAACACGGGCAGAAAGCTCCTCGTTCTTCTGGTTGGCCTGCTCGGTCTCCAGGCGGAGAGTGTTCATTCTCTGTTGAGATGTTAATATGAAGTTTCATATTGAATCAATAAGGATGTATCGAAAGAGCATCGCATCTGGATGGAGGTATCCAAGGTGCAGATGAATAAGGGGTAACCAAACTAATAGCAACACCTTAAATCAATGTGGAATAATAGATACTTACTTCTCTGAGTTTATCCATTTTTAAGGTTTAAAGATTTGTTTGAGGTGGATGAGATAGGTGTGGTATTTAGTGTATAGATGGCTTTTTTGGAGTTTGTTGGAAGACGATGAGAATCTAAGGGGAAGGAATGCAAGACCACGTTCGAAGAAGGGGATGGAAATGCGTTGGCAGCAGACACGGACTGACCTGAAGGGTTGGGTTGGTTGGTGGTGGGGTCAGTGCTCACGAGAGAGCGGGGGCTTGGCCAGAGGGGCAAGCGCCGGGGTGAGAGTGCGGCATGGAATGGCTGATGTCTGACAATCGTTGCCCTGGGAACGTGCCAAGCTAGGGATGATACTCCCTTGTTTACATCATTCCTGATCTTAAGCAACCATCGCAAAAAGCTCTGACATACGTTTCTTTCATGGTCACCACCGATCACTAGTACAACAACATCTGGCCCACCCTGTATCTTGGCCTTCCGACATCACGACAATCCAAAGCCAGCTAATACCGCCCCAAAACCTCGACCACAGACATGCTTGCCAATAAGGAAAACGTTTTGATCCATGGACCATCGCACGGGGCGGGCAAAATCAATCCCAAAACGCCCGGTCCCTCCAAGTTAAACCCAAAGACTCCATACAAAGTCTCATTGAATGATGAGGGCGGCAAGAGCAATCTTTTTGCTGGGAAAGACCCCTCTATGTTCATTACGCCCGCTGGTCCACGGCGAGCTGCCCTCACAGGGAAAACCACCAACGCAAAGGCGAGACGTCCTCCATCTGAAGGAGAGGAAGGACAGAAGACCTTCCAGAAACCTAGTCGCCTTATCCGTACGCGTCTTTCGCTTACGGCCGAGGTTGTTCCCATCGCCAATGAGGAAGGAGAATATCCGGAGATTGAATATATGCCCCCACGTGAAACGGGTACTTTGATCCTCTTTTGTCCATTTTTGGACAAACATGTACTCACAAGATTATAGAACTTCCCGACATTCCTGACGACTTTGAGATCCCAAACTATGAGAGACTTAGCAAGCACCTCTATAGCAACTGCCACCGCCAATTTCTTCTGGATATCGATGAATCCGGAAAATCTAAGATTGACCGTCAACTCGAAGAATCTGAACGTCAGATTTCAGCTCTTCTTGACGCAGAAACTGATCAATTGCTATCTGAAGTAAGGCCAAAAAGAGTATCAGTCAAGAAGGATACTGTGCAGAGATCAGCATCCATTGCTGCTAAGTTGAAACATAAACGTTCTACCAGCAATCTTGCAGACAGACCAATCGTGAGCAGAAAGCGTAGTGGAGAAATGGCAAGACCCAACTCTGCTATGAGTAATGGGTCTATTAACTCTCATCCTTCTACCGCTGCATCAATTAGAGCGGCTACAGCACTCTCCCAGCGTCCACCTTCCTCTACGTCTCAACGACCCCCGTCTAGGACACATTCAAGATCAATTTCTGGGTCTCTCACCAACCGCTCTTCCGATGAGACACTCCGGCCTAGCTCTCGCACCATAATCCGGCCTAGTTCCCGTTCCACTATTCGCCCTGCGTCTCGTCCTAACAGTCGCATGGCTGTGGCCAACTCCAAGACCACGATTGGGTACACTACAGGCAAGGAAGTCGCCAAGAGTGTCAAGAAAGCCTTTGAATTGCCCAAAAGGGAGACTGCACTCGAGGTCTGTGAAAGAATTTTGAGAGAGGATGATGAGAGACAGACTCCAGCCATTATGTTGTTTAACAATGAGGATGATGATGGAGTTGATGACCTCCTCAAGTCGCTCCCGTCTCTCGCGGAGGTTTTCGAAGAGGAAGAGGAGGAATTTTATCTTACTCTTCCTGATGTGGAGTAGATTTGAGGATAATCTCGGGTTTGCAAACATCATTTATTATTCATAAGTAGCATGGCAAGAAAGGGGAAAATGTAATCACAAAAGAGTAAATCATCATTAAGTATCAATAGCTTGGGATGGAGGAATTTGGGAGTAGTATCGGAGTTAGTCTTTGCTTTTATAATTATTTCTTTTGTTAGGAACTGTTGACGGCTATCATGATTGTGCTTTGTATAACAGAAATCGAATGTTTACATGCTTTCTTTTGTAATAACTAGCCTCAGCTCTAGAGACCTTTCATAATATCCAGTTAACTCTCGTTGGGTAGGGCCGCTGACATTTAGTTGAAAATATCTGGCGATGCAAATCATCCGAGTGATTTTTCATGATTATGAGTTCACCCATGAAACGATTGCCATGTCACACCCCAGAGCTTCTTCCGCTGCCCATGGTGATTAACGGCGGTGATAATCAATGAGGTATGAGGTCTCTTTCAGTACGTATCTTCGCCAAGTTAGCAATATGGAGAACTGCGTCAGCAGGCGCCTAGACATACAAATGTGCTAGGACTTTCCCGTGTGCTCCTGTTTCTTAATACTGAGTTTCCGAGTTTTATATCTACGGTTCTGAGCGTATTGACGAGAAAGATGCTGTTATACCCTGGTACAAACAGCTTTCCAAGTCTGCCTGGGGCGCAGTACTCCGGTGCCTTGCTAATGTTTTATTATAAACTGCGAGATGGTTTGGCATAGTTACATACTCACAGATAAAACAATCACCAGACAGTTGAAACAATATTTATGAAACAGAACTACATTTTATGGAAATCCTGACATTGTTCTTCTTTGCTGTTACTTCACCTAAATATAATATAGTGCAGCATGGCCTTAGGAACCGATATCCAGGAGCCGGTGTCAATTACAACCTGGGCTGGTCTAAAAAAAGGTTGCTGGGTCCTGCGAAATTATACTTAGCGATCAACCACCAAATAAACATCATAATTGTGGTTATAAAAACATTTGACATTTTTAGCTATCCATTTCTGTTTCAGATCCGTCTCCTCCTGCTCACTTGGTGTCAAGTCCTAGTAGGCGCCAAGGCCCTTGGCGTAGATCATCGTGCTCGTCAGCTCAACCACCAACGATCGCGTACACGAACTTCTCATTGAGCAAGTTACGAGCCTACGAGAAAATCAACAGCCTCCATTATGCGTTTCCAATTAACCGCCCAACTCTCACTGCTGGCAGCACTGAGTGCACCTTTCGTCTCCGCCTTCAAAGACACCTCCCCCTTCTTCCTAATCTCCGCTTCCAAGTTAGTTGCTCGCCTCCTTGATCGTGGCCTCTCACCCGCTAACTCCAACTAGACATTTCTCTCAAGCCGACAACACTAAACCTCTCCTCGAGACCTCCGCCTTTGTCCAGACAGCAAAGGGCATAATCTCTTACTGTGATGCCGACGCTTATATCCTCGTGACGCAGCCCGGCCTGCACGCAAGCGACTTCGCGCATGCCTCCTCGGCACCGCGCTTGTCAACCGTTTTCAAAGAGGTTGGGGTAGAGCGGGCTCAGGCTGTGAGCAAGGTGTACGAGTATGACGTAAAGTTTGAGGACATTGCAGACATACTACAGGATTTCGCGATCGCCACATGTGATGCAGAGGTAGAGGAGGTGGACGCAAAGACTGGTAGCTTTGGCGGATTCGACGATATGAAGCCCAAGCTCATCAGGGTCGATTTTGAGACCCTTCCCGAGAAGGGCCCTGCGAGACACAAGGCAATCATGGAGAACGGTTTGTCACCACACACACCCACGTTTAACTTCTATGGCAGGTTACTAACGCCGGTGCAGATTCATTCTTGTACTCGATCATTTCCCTCCTTCCAACGTACAAATACAACCTCATTTACACCTCTACGCCTATCTCCATGACTCCAGCTGCCATGAAGGAGTCTAAGGGAGATGCCCACGAACTCCGCCGCCGCGAGAACTTCCAAGTCCGCGATGATGACGAGAAGACCAACACCACTCTCCCCGAGGGCAGTTTGTTCAAGAGATACCAGTTCTTCACCCCTGCTATCTTTGCCGGATACCTTGCCCTGTTCTTCCTGTTGAGCGTCCTCTACGTTGCATTCACCGCGCTGAGCAGCCTCCAAGTCTCTTACGGCGCGTTCGAGAAGGAGATGGGGCCATCAGCTGCGAAGAAGCAGCAGCAGCAGCAATAGATGCTGTGAAATTGAAATAGAGGCGATGGGTACGCTATCATAGGGTTGTAAACGACGGTGTTCTTTGCGATTGGGCTTTTTTTCGTTGACTATTTGGATGTTATTTGCTTGGTGTATGTACCATATCCGTAGTAACTGGTTTCATGGGCAGTTTTTTTATACATTTATTTGATTGATTGCTTATTCGTCAGCGTTTGCATGTGCTCGATGGGAATTTTGTTAGTAGGAATTGATAATGCGATGTTTTGCTTGAATAGCTCTCCTGTAAAATTTCTTTATAATTTGCCCATGGATATATTGTATCAATACATGAGTAAATGTGGCATGACGTATGCCTAGCTGGAGTTGTGTTGTGTTTACTCGCCTCAACTGAGCAGCCCCAGGAGTAAAACTAGATTCAGCAAAGTGGTCGATCGAGTGATAACTTATGCGGCTGAATCAACGGCGTTCGAAAATAAGGAGTGTGTTTTTATACCACTGAAATAGGCCTTCAGCGGTTCCCACTATCACCTGGAAAACAAACATTGTAGATTTCAAGGGTCCCTGACAGACTCTGTTACCACGGCCTTTAGAGCCCTTACTAGTGAACGGCCTGGTCCCTCGTTATTTGTGGAGAATTGTGCCAAAAAGCCACGAGAGAGTGTCGGGGGCTTTTGCGTCGCAAGTGTAATTTTCTCCCTATGTACACGTAATATATTGCCACTAGCTAGTACAGAGGAATACTTGGCGGTGCAGGCTTAGATGATGAGAACCATCCTATGACTGTTACTACTGCAAATACAAAGTCTGGTAGCATCCTTTTATATAATCAAAACCTGGCACTATGTCCTATTAGGGAACCGTATCTATACGAGAAAAACTCGGAAAACTTTCAAAGGTCACCTTTTTCATTCAGCTAGAAGAACCGCTATCTATAAGGAAATCACTAAAGTGGGTAGATCTAATATTCGAAATGGAATAGGTGCTTTGCATG